TGTAGGGAATTTCTGTTTTGGGGCCAAAGACGGGAATTAAATTCTTGTGCATACTTTGAACTGAAGCATATAGTACTTTCACTGAATTTGGGGGTGGATGCTCTTCCTAAAAGCTTTTCTTAATGAACTTTATCTGCTTTCTCTCAACTCTAAATGTAACTTGCAAATGTAAAACTAGCTAAATAAGACTCTCACAATACGTTTTCTGTAATGTTTGCAGTGCTGTTAAAGGAAAGACACCTCAGGTGGGTGACAGAGTTTTGGTAGAAGCTACTTACAATCCTAATATGCCATTCAAATGGAATGCACAAAGGATCCAGACACTTCCAAATCAGGTATATGGGGTTACCCAGTCTAACTTTTACTGACTGCTTCTGGTTCAAGCTCACTCACTTTCAAGCTCACTCGTTTTCTCTTCTACTGCTAGAACCAGACGCAAGCTCAGCCGTTACTGAAGACACCTCCGGCAGTTCTTCAGCCCATTGCACAGCAGACTGCATTCAGTGTTCAGGCACAGCCGCAGCCTCAGTCCTTGTTGCAGGCACAGATATCAGCAGCTTCAATCACACCTTTGCTTCAGACACAGCCTCAGCCATTACTGCAGCAGCCACAGCAAAAAGGTGCTTCCTTCAGTGTACAAAGTTTTTTGTAGTCCTTCTGGTGCTTAGTGTGTGATTATTACTTTCTTTTGTTAGTCAGAAGACTGAAGCAGTAGTTGAAATACTATGGAAAGGACCCTAAAGAATTTTCAACTTGAATATGCATCTTCCTACAGCTATGTGCAAGGCGCATTGCCTGCAATAGCTCAAGAATCACCTGCTTTTTGAGATCGCGATGGACTTCTGTTCATAACGAAGATTTAATAATCTGAAAGCAGATTCAGTGTAATTTTTTATTCTGACACTTTCACAGAACAAGTTGGGGAGTTGAAAGTATTAATGTCAGCGTAGTTCTTCAGCATCTTCTGCGGGTTTCGCACAATTGTGTTGTTAAAACTGTTGTTTCTATATTTGTCTTTTATTTATTTGTTAACCAAGTTGGCATTTGAGAGGAGAAGCACAGCCAAACATGGCAAATGTAAAACAAAGGTGGTTGTGGGGTCACTTAAATTTTGAGTGGCTGAAGAATCCGTAGTAGAATTGATAAGAAGATAAAATTGGGACACTGTCATATTACCTGCAGTAGCAGCAAGGGGAGAAGATCTTAAGCTATTGCCTAAGCAGAGCTGTCGGATAAACGCTTATTACAATCTAATATAGTCCTAGCTGTTCATCAGTGTTTAGTAACGTTTGCTTCATTTCCCATCAGTTGGTTAAATGTCTTGAGACAGCAAAACTATGTGTTGGGGGATTAATACAGCAGTATCATAAATAGATCTAAGAATAATTTTTCAGGAAGCTAATTGTTTTCACCTATGAATAGCCTCAAAAATAAGTTCTAGATTTTCTTTAGTTCAATGAGTAGGTAGTATATCTATCTTTAAACAAATTACTTTTACAAGAAAAGGCTTAGATATTTACGGTGATAACTTCTATGTGCTTAGATTACATCAGCTTACATCTTAAGAAGATGCTTTTAAACGAATTTCACTTTTTAAAATAAATATTAGGGTCTCAGTTTGTATCAGTGAAGAAGAGCATAGGTCTCGAGTTTCTTGGGGTGGGTGTTATTAATCAGTAGATTCATTTGACTCTAGAGTTAGTTTAGAAAATATACACCAGTGAAGCAACTGTAAATCAACAGTGTTTGTAAAGCAAACCCTATTATGTATTCATCTTGCAAATTACTGTTTCAGGTGGTTTGTTACAGCCCCCTGTTCGTCTAGTTTCACAGCCTCAACCAGCTCGAAGATTAGACCCACCATCCAGATTTTCTGGGAGGAATGACAGAGGAGGAGACCCTATGCCAAACCGAAAAGATGACAGGAGGTATGTCGTAGCAGACTAGACTATAATCAAAGCATTCTGTAAAGCCCTGTCTTCAGAGCTGAGCTGCTTGCTCCAGAGTGAGTCAGTGATACACACAAGTGGCTTTACCATTAGATATCGGTGAAGAGTTCTTTCTGTGTGAAATGAAGGAATTGGATACAGTCTCTCTTGTAAAGAGACAAATGTACTGAAACAATGAGGAACTTCTCTCCTTTTTCTGCGTCGTCTCTGACAAGTCTAGCTTCTGTTATGCTAGAAAGCTTTTCATGTTAATCAGCATGCAAAAATATTTGTGTCTTGTATGCGTTTTTAAAGTCGTGAAAGAGAACGAGAGAGACGTAGGTCCCGGGAAAGATCACCCCAGAGAAAACGGTCCAGAGAGAGATCACCTAGACGAGAGAGAGAGAGGTCGCCTCGAAGACCGCGACGTGTTGTTCCACGTTACACGGTTCAGTTCTCCAAGTTTTCATTGGACTGGTATGTTTATGGTGCCAGATGTTTGCCTATGTCTCACCTTAAATGTGGGCGCCGATTACTGTGACTGTGAGCATTGTCAACCCACGTGTGTGTAGCGAGTGTTAAATGACAATCTTAAAGGTCAAATATGTAATGGCTGAGAACCTTGTATGACAAACTTTTTCTAGATTATTATATTTTCAAATGCTACTGCAAAATAACCTTTGTAACACTGTTGTTTAATAAATACTCCCTAATACGCAGGCACCTTTATCAGGGGAGTGTTTGGTAGTTAACTTCTTTTTAAACTTTAATCCACGACTCTCTAATTTAAGAATGTTTCTCTTTAAATTTTAGATATATATATAGTATTAAATACACAATGGTTGTATTTCCTATTAATATACCTTTTAATTATGTGCTTCTTAAATGGTTCTTTTATTGCTGTATCTTTCAACTAATGTTGTTTATTTCAGCCGTAGCTGTGATATGATGGAGCTGAGGAGGCGTTACCAGAACTTGTATATCCCAAGCGATTTCTTTGATGCTCAATTTACATGGGTGGATGCTTTTCCTATGTCTAGACCATTTCAGCTGGGAAACTACTGTAATTTCTACGTAATGCATAGAGAAGTAGATCCTATAGACAAAAACGCTGCTGTCCTTGACCCACCCGATGCTGATCATCTGTACAGTGCAAAGGTTTGTATGGGTTTCCAGTATTATGACTATTCATTAGAATTTTTTTTTTTACCAGTAGGGTGAATAAGTGAATGTAACTGAACTGAAAATATTCTACAGTGATTTGAGCAAAATACAGCATTTTAAACTTTTCAGTAAAGGGCTAGTATGTAGAGTTTGAAGAATCATGACTGAAATTCAGTTTGTTTTTTTTCTGTTATTAGAGTTGTCCTAAATCTTATTTTTACTGAGGTGTCTTTTTTTTCATTCTCTGCACCCAGTCACACTGATCAGATTATAGGAAAGCAAACCAGCTCCTGAAAGATCTCTGAATGTATTTCTTAGGCAATTCATTCTGGACAGTTAACGGAGCCCTTTTCTTCCCTCACGGGTCCTTTTTGTGCAGTTTGTGCTCTTCTGTTTAGTGATGTCTTCTTCCTTTCTTCTTTCAGATTCATCTCAATATTGTATTATTTTGTTGAAAGTAGATTGACCATATTTGGATTATCTGAATGTCAAAAAATGCTGCATCAAGGGCTGTAATGATGTATAAAAGACCTCTGTGTCAGTGTCTTCCTAAAACATGTTCCATTTGAAAGCTCTTTCATTAAAATAGATCTGAGATTTCTAGGTCAATCTCTTTTAGAAGTACTTGATGTTAAAGACAGGTTTAGAAACAAAACTGTCTTTAACCCTCTATTTCTGAAAGACTGAACTTTACTTGCCTTCTGTGTATAAAAACTTTGAAGCCTTGGCTCACATATCAGATGTACTGGTTTTCTCAGTCTGTTGATGCAGAGCAAGAACTCTTTCAGAAGGTTACGCTTCAAAATACATTCAGTAACTGAGGAATAGCATCCTGTTTCGTAATAGTAAGCTGTTTAGGTTATCAAGCAACCTTGTTAGGTTTGACTGGGCTAATGGGATGCTACAGATGTAGATGAATATGTTGGTCAGTTCTCTTGTGATTGTGACAAAATGGAAGGAGTCAGTTACTGAAACAAGAAATGTACTCAGTGTGCTTCTTGAGATAGGACGTGTGGCATATAGCAACGATATGCGAAGCATGTTGCTTTCATATGCTTTCAGTTGATTTGGTTTTCTTTAATAAGATCACGCATTGCATCCATATGGGACAGAGGGAAATGGGTCCTTGGCAGACAATTTAACACTCACTTCTACAATTTTATTTTACCTTTACTTTTTCTGATCTTTTTTGTGACATTAAGGAAAAAGTACTGGTATGTATGTGTTTGCAAGTTGTGGTCATTGTTTACCAGTCATAATGGGAGACCTTCACAAGGCTGATCTGACTTGCACAACAGGTGATGTTGATGGCTAGTCCTAGTATGGAAGATCTCTATCACAAGTCATGCGCTCTGGCTGAAGATCCCCAAGAACTTCGTGACGGATTTCAGCATCCTGCTAGACTTGTAAAGGTAAATATGCTTCAATGCCAGACACTTTTGGCAATAAAGGTTGGTTACAGAGCTTTAAAATATTTGTCGATAAGGGAGGAGTTTGTAGGCTTCATTTTTCCTCTGAAGAGATCTGCTTTATATGTCAATTCTTTTTCCAGTTTATAGGAGCTCCATCTTGACTGCTGTTCATATTTATTGCTTTCTTCAACTTAGTCAAACTCAAACAATAGATATTTGGAGAAACTTATTTATATAATTAACTTTGTTCGTCTTTTTTTTACAAGCACTTAGATCTTTTTTAAGGGTTCAGCTCTGAAGAGAATACAAATGAAGCAACAGTTAACTAACCGTTGTACTAGCTATTGTTAAACTGAACAGCCTGTAAGTGCTATGGTGTTTCAGGACAACGCAGACTTGTTTTCCGATTAAACTCCATCATCTTAGAGCCAATGGGAGTACTTGAAGTTATAGATATAATGCTCTTGTGGTCATACCGTTTGTAGCTTTGCTTTATCACTTTTAAGCAGGAACCTCTATAAACCTCTAAGACACTGTTTAAATTAGTATCGGTTTGTCTTTTTGTGTTAGACAGCTTTTAATTGCAAAGGAACAAGCCTGTACCAATAACTTGATGGAAAGTCTTGCAAACAAGAATGAGTGATGATGTTTTAAACCTATTCCATTTCTGAAATAGTCTGTGGAAAAAAATAACTGAACTCTTTCTTGACTGACTTTCATTTTCAGATTTCAAAATAATGTGACAGTTTACTCATGGATTTCAGTGTGTGCGTGCGCTATGAAATATTCTTTGCGCTTTGGGAAAATGACTCTTTACCCCTAGCAGGGGAACATTCAGAAGACTCTTTTTGTCTAGTTTTTAGTGGGTATGAAAGGCAAAGATGAAGCCATGGCTATTGGAGGACACTGGTCCCCATCACTGGATGGACCTGATCCAGAAAAGGACCCTTCCGTGCTGATAAAGACGGCTATTCGTTGTTGCAAGGCTCTTACAGGGATTGACTTAAGTGTGTGCACACAATGGTAAGTACTGTACTGCAAAGTACACTGTAGAAATACTTGTCTGTTACCAGGAGCTTAAAAATAAACTGGAAAAACCTCTTTTTCTTTGTCGGCTGCTCTTGGTAGTGCAGGTAAACTACTCAAAGGCTGTTCTGTTTTGTAATAAGCTTGATTGGTGCCAACTGTGCTGAATACTGCATTAAGAACTAATTAAAAACTCTGGATTTATTTTGACATGTTATGCTGTAATTTTTTAATGAATGTGCATTGAAAATATTTTTCATTTTGTGCATAGCTGGAGAAGATCGTCAAGAGAACTTCATTTCATTGTTCTTTTGTTATAAATAAATAGCCGTTCGTTATATAGCCATATTTTCTCTTGAGGAGTTTTTGTCCTGTGTTTAACACTCATTGCGGTTTTACTAATACCAGGAAAGCCTGTTGTTTGCTAAATTTAAAGTGCTTCAGCAGCTTCTATTTGCACGTTAAACCCTTTACGTGTTGTAAAGAACAAGTTATGTAAAAAGAATTTTGTTGGTTTTCCTCCTTTTCAATTGTGACACCTTTTTTACACATGTACTGAAAGAGAAAATATGGCTTCCATAATTTTTTTCTTTAGATAAACTTCGAGGTCTTGCAGCAAAGTTTCTTTACTTGATGTGCTACAAGTGATCTAGGCTCTTTAAAATGTATTGTAGAATTTTTTTTCCAACATGCTTCTTCCCTTGCAACAGGTACCGTTTTGCAGAGATTCGCTACCATCGCCCTGAGGAGACCCACAAGGGGCGTACAGTTCCAGCTCATGTGGAGACAGTGGTTTTATTTTTCCCGGATGTTTGGCATTGCCTTCCCACCCGCTCAGAGTGGGAAACCCTCTCCCGAGGATACAAGCAGCAGCTGGTCGAGAAGCTTCAGGGTGAACGCAAGGAGGCTGATGGAGAACAGGCACTGAACGCTAATCCCTTTTTCTATTTCTGCTTCTCACAGGCACAGGAACACAGGCACAAAATGCACACCACATACTACACAACATACATACATAGGAGGAACATAACTGGTAACAATGACTGGTAAACCAGCTTTCAGCAGTGTAGTGAATGTTGTTTTTTATTTTTATTTCAGCTAGTTCACTAACTTTAAATGTGTATGTTGATATCACAAATGGAATTAAATTGTGCTTATGATGCGCAGAAAATTTTTTACCATAGACGTAGTTGCTGGAATCTGGGACCAGTTGTTGAGTGAGATGCAGTTTATGAATAGCTGTCTTGAAACATTTTGCCATTTTCTAAAATTGCTAAATTCTCTCTTGTGGCCAGTTCTAATTGTGGTGTTTGAAACTGAACAAACACTAGTCTGAAACATCTGAATTTCAGGCCATGTGACTGATCAACATCTTGGAATAAGGGAAGGTCTGACTGAACAAAGAGTAATTTTGGGGATTTAAAATCTGGGGGAAGATCACACACTGTGTGGTTAATGGAGACCAGCAGTGTCTGTGTAACCCCAATATTCTTTGTGGTGTTGCTTATCACCCTTTTGTGTTCCAGAGATCTGGCTTGTATTGGCTGAGTGGCACTGTGATCATTTATAAAGTGGTAGAATGTGTGTGTGAACTTGTCTAAATAATAACTTTAGGAGAAGACTATCTGAAACAGTTGTGACCTTGCACAGATCAGCAACAGAATTTAAAAAATAACTTAAATGCTTTCAAGCTTTCTGAATGATAATTTCTAAATTTTATTTGTCAGGATGAAGAGGAAAAGGATGATGGGGAAGCTAAAGAGATCTCTACACCTACGCACTGGTCTAAACTGGATCCAAAGACAATGAAGGTAGCTAATGCTTTTCTTAAAATTTGATTCCGTTGTACGTCTTCATTTTTAAGGCACAGCCCAAAATACAGCCATATATTCCCTTAACTGAGAAAAAAAACTTCCGTTGTGTTTTATCTTCCTTGCTTCTTTTCTAGATACTAGATGTGATATCGCAGTATGCAAGTGTGACTCCTGATTTTAAGAAGTGAATACAGCTAATAGAAACTATTCTGAACTTTTGAATTTTGTACAATTACAGTGTGTCACACATGATACATTAAATGGAAAATGAAAGTTCTGCAATCTGGTTGTAGCTACGTGCATTAAAAATGTGAGGTCTAAAATACTTTAATGGTAGTTTAAAAAGGCAATAATTACAAAGAAATATGTCAGGAGGCATAATAAAAAGTTTCCTTGAAAGGAATAATAAACTATTTTACTGTAATAAAATTCCTGCCCCTGTGAAAAGTCCCACAAAAGGGTTTCTTTAAAAACAGAACTTTAATATGTCTTATTATCAGTAAATACTAGTGGTTTTCAATACAGATCTAAAAAATACAGTTGACTTTTTCAGTGCTCTTAATTTTTACTTCACCTTTTCTGCTAATCGCATGTATTGCAATGTCACTGGTTGATACCACTTACAGAGCTTTTATTTACCAGGTAAATGACCTTCGCAAAGAATTAGAAAGTCGAACCCTTAGCTCTAAAGGACTGAAATCTCAGTTGATAGCTCGACTGACAAAGCAGCTGAAAGTAGAGGAGCAAAAAGAAGAGCAAAAGGAGCTAGAGAAGTCTGAGAAAGAAGAGGAAGAGGAGGAGGATAGGAAATCTGAAGATGACAAAGAGGTTAGGTTTTGGACATATTTGGTTTGAGTCTTAATAAATATACATAAATACATAAATATTATGTAAAAAATTATATAACTATATAAGTATAAAAAGTGTAGGAATATGGCTAGTTGTGTTGGGATTTTGTAGTTCTCTGGTGACTGTACTGGGAACTCTTGCTGTAACTGGAGCTGCTGAATTGGAATGAAATTTTGGCAAGTTTTGAATTTCTTCGTATCAGCAAAGTCAGTTGAAACTGCACTAAGGGTGTGTGAATTAATGTCAGACCTTAAACGTAAGGAAAAATAAATGCCAAACTCTTGGGAAAAACTATGCTCAAGAACAGGTGAACACACTTAACAAGACCTTAACTTCTTAAACCTACTTGAAAAGCTTCTGCTTAGTTATACTGGCTTTTAGGAGTGTACACGCCTTAGGGAGTTATCGGGGAAATGGGAGGAGGGCAGCTTCATGTCTGTAAAAGGTTATAGTGTCTCAAACTGTCCAGTTTCTCCACATGGCTAATGGTTTTCTTATGTTTGTTACCCTTTTATGAAGCTTTTATTTTTGCTTTTGGATAAAATTCCTGTGTATTGAAGTTTCTCAGTTTTGCAGTTGGTATTTTCAGTACTATTTAGTCTGTTGAGCTTTCATGAGGATAAATGAGATCTGTGCAATAAGGCCAAACAAAGCTCAACCATAGAAAAGGGGCGTGTCTGGAGAATGTATTCTGTCTTAGTTGCTTTTAAACCTGCCTTTTTTTGTATTCTTACCTGCTAACCAAGATGGGATGATTTGAAATTTTATATATCTTGTTGAGGGATGGGCTTGCTAATTCTGTCAGCTGCTACCTTCTCCAACAGCATGGATGGGCTTCAGCTACCTTGGGGTTTCTTGCCACAGCTTTCTTTTAGGGGAAGGAGATTTGATTTGTGCTTGCTTTTTTAAAAAGCATAAGCTCTGCCATGACTCTTTTTTTCTAGACTCATAAGACTTTAATATTTCTCTCTTGACAATCAGTAAGCTGCTTGGTATTTTACCTTTTTTAAACTTTTCTTTGATTTGCATCAGTTGTATCTATAGATACTGCATTTCCTGTAATAGAGCTCAGTAAATTGTTATCCAGTAATTGCTAAAGCTGTGTTGGGTATCTTTGTGAAGATGATGCACAAAAGCCTTTACACTTCCTACATAAGAAATAAGACAGCTTACTGTACAGTTCTAAAAACACCCCTAAACATACAAAAGGCCCCTCAGGATCTTTGACTCCTTTTCCTAGCTTGCTTGCCATTTCTTGAAGTGAACTAGCCTGAGTCCTTCCAATGTCGAGTAAACGTGCTGCAGTAAGCACCATAAGATAGCTGTAAGGTGCTCGTTGCTCTGCGTGTTAAACGACACTGCATGTCCTGCTTTGTGTTGCTCAAGTTTCTGGTCGTCTTAGGTGAGTGTTGGCAGTGGACACAGTATGCGTTCTGGAAATTCTGGTCTGTGACTCCTGTCTTCCGCATTGCATTCAGCAGCTTAGGCTTTCCTTCACTTTCTTTAAAGTAGTGAATCCTAAAAATGAATACATAGGCTGAAACTTCAGCATTGGGATATGCAGTATGTTATTTTTTTGCCTCTTTTTTAGGAAGAGGAAAGAAAACGTCAAGAAGAAATGGAACGTCAGAGGCGGGAGAGACGATACATCTTGCCTGATGAACCAGCAATCATTGTACATCCTAACTGGGCAGCAAAGAGTGGAAAGTTTGACTGTAGCATTATGTCTCTTAGTGTTCTTCTGGACTATAGATTAGAAGATAATAAAGAACATTCCTTTGAGGTAATTTAGCTACCTACTTACAGTTAGCCATTCTAGTTTCTTTTTAATTCTGTGTGATATCTGCAGTATTCTTAAATTCTAAAAGCGTATGATAGCGGATAACGCAGCAAAATGAAACTTAAATAAGTTAGTTTCTTTGTGCAATAGCTAGAAGAACTTGTCCGATCTTTGGTACATGGTTTAGAATAGCGATATAGTCGCTGTATGATATCCAGAAGAAATGTGCAGGTTTTCAGGTACGGAATTGAGTTTCTAATTTATACAGCTAGTCTAGGTCCTAAACTACTGCAGTACAGGAAAGAAACATTTTTATAAAGTTGTTTAAGTTTTCCATATTCAAAGCAGATAGTAAGAAATCTGACTACATTAAATTCTGACATGGTGAAAGTTGATAAGATATATCGCACCTCATAATTATTTGTGTACAAATTTTTAATATATGTTCCAAAACTTGTGGTCAGTTCTCCCTTCATTCTTCTTTACGTGCAGGTATCATTGTTTGCAGAGCTCTTCAATGAAATGCTTCAGAGAGATTTTGGTGTCAGAATTTACAAAGCACTGATTTCTCTCCCAGAGAGGGAGGACAAAAAAGACAAAAAAAGCAAAAAAGATGAGAGAAAAGAAAAAAAAGAAGAAAAAGATGATGAAACAGATGATCCAAAACCGAAGAGGAGAAAATCTGGAGATGATAAAGACAAAAAAGAAGATAGAGAGGAAAAGAAGGTCTGCAGCTAGCTCATGAAGTACTATCCTGTCTGGATCAATATTGAACTGTTTCTATTTGAATGTTACTTTATTGCTTTCGAAAGCTCAGGTCTTGTAATGTTAGTTAATTGTTTTGACTTGTTGATCCATTTAAATACACTACAATCATGCTCTGTAATTTTAAGATTTTACAGGGGTATTGGGGGTATTTTAACATTCAGCTATATTGCATAGATTTGTATTTGTTTTTAAGTGACTAGGTATAAACACATACAAATTTTCAATGAAGGATAGTGAGGTTTTTACTTCCCTGTTTTTTAGTTCTGACTGGATAAATTGTTAGGAACTTATTTTACAGAGGGAAGATAAAAGGAAAGATGATTCTAAAGACGAAGAAGAAACTGAAGATGACAATAATCAAGAAGAATATGACCCGATGGAGGCAGAAGATGCTGAAGATGAAGATGAAGGTATTTTGAATTAAGAATTTTGTGGCTTTCAGAAATTTTTTTTTATTGCCACTGAATATGTTCTTTCAAGCTGGAGAATGCATTGGAACTAGAGAATTTGAAATTGCATTATTAAACTAATTTTATTGTAGTAATTCTGACCAGATCTACTTAAAATGTAAGTGCCTTTCTGCTAGGCATTGTATGAACATAGTTAATATAAACTAGCTGTGGTACTCAAAGTAAGGCATGCATATAGAAGTGGTTTTATTTTTTTCAGAATGCAGACCACTCGCAACTCCCATTGAAGTCAGTAGGAGATGTGAGTATTCAGCACCTCTGAAAAACCAAGCCACTTTTAAGTGCCTAACTTCCTATTCCTCCGTTCTGAAATGTCATTCTGCTTTTATTAGGCCAGAATGTAGCATGGGGTCCTCTTTACATGATGTTATGAGGAGTTGATTTCTGTTTGGGTGGAGTGGTGTTTGCCTGAAGAAATGAGGATAAGGGGCTGGGGAACTTTCCTGTCTCCAGGGAGCAGCAGTAGCCCTCTTTCTCTGTTCAGAGATTCAGAAAGGTGTTAAGACATGGTGTATGCTTTTTGGTTTGTACTTCTTTGGGGTTTTTGTCCTTTTATGGAGAGTTTTTGCTAGAGATGTGGGTTTGAACTGCTTCGGTGTTGCAGTCCTAGCATTTTCTAACCAGCATTTTCAGTTGTATTTTTGGCAGAGTACTGCACCAGGCTTAAAAAATCGATGCTAATCTGTAGTTTCTAAAATAACTCTTATTTGCTCACAGTCTGGCTGTGAGAGTGCCCGGAGATTGTCTGTTCTGTACAAGCGCTGCTGCTTCCCATAATCTGTCCTTGTGCGGTTCCCAGTCAGAGTTGCTGAGAACAATCCAACATGCCATGGAGGTGCAGGAGAAAGCTGTTGGTTCTCAGAAACATGTTGGCAAAATTAGACAAGTGTTGCGATACATAGTTTTTTCCAAAGTTTTCCTCACAAGAAAGGTGAGCTTAAAGCTGAACTTGGCACATGATTCTCTGACCAAAGACTTGCACCTGAGGTACAGAGCTGCATGTCATAATCCGTCCCTGCAGTTGTCATATTCTTCTTTCTCTCTTGATTTTAGGTTTAGTTTTACTGTACTGTCTACCTTTAAACGAAAAACCTGCAGTTTGTAATTCATATCTAATAAGCGATGTGATCTGTAACTTCGTGGAGAATCTAAATCATAGGATCAGTAATATCTCACTCAGACATGAGTATAAACACGTCCTTTTAATTATATAGTTGATGGGGATTTTAGGATATAAAATATTTGAGAGTAAACAGTACTGATTTTGTCCTCATAGGAGTGACCATACTTGAATGCGGACTCTGCCAAGCCTCATTAGGGAGAATTGTGGTAATTTCCTGCACACCACTTAAATAGATAGTGGTGTTCGCAGAACTCATTTGGCCTAGTTAGCATTTATTTCAACTCTTCTATCCTGTGTGTGTGAAAGGAACACGGCGGGGAGGGAATGACAAATGCCTTATGTTAAAATAAGACCAGAGAAAAATCAAAATCTGGCAGGACTCACTCAAATGCCATTTGTTGTTTGGTTTTGGTGTTGTGTTTTTTTACGGAAATACTATTTCAGATATTTTGGAGTTTACGTGCACTTTTTTAATGAACATGTGTACTTTGAAATAAGTTACACAATTGTTTGCTGTGGGTATGTTGAGTTTTCTTTCTGTTTTACAGACCGGGATGAAGAAGAAATGAACAAACGGGAGGACAGAAGAGAGGGAAATAGGCATTGTAAAGAGAGGTCGTCTAAAGATAAAGTAACTAACACCTTTCTTAACAACTACATATAATCTTGTGAGAGGTGTCCTAATTGGAGCTTAACTTTATTTTCTTATAAGACCTATTTACACTCCTTGATTCCTTCAGCACTTCTGGACTGAAACTTTAAGTGTGTATAGAAGTTAGGGAACATGTGACAGCTTTGGGTAAGGTGCTTACAACCTCCTTTCATTTACAGTTTTAAAGTTCATTGGGTGAAGCTGTTGGAAAAAGTTTTTTACATAAGATACTGATCTGTCTGAAAGACGTGAGGACTAATGCTGTATGTGCACATAAGAGACAGCAGATGTGATTATTTTATCCATTATTTTCAACTGCTGTGCTCTTCCATAAGAGAAGCAGAAGCTTAGCTTGGTTGATAAACTGGCTTTTCAAATTGTGAAGCTTGGAATTATGTGATGTTTTTACATCTCCCTGCAGTAAAATGGGTGCTTTTTGTGTTCCGAGGCCAATAGCTTGCCTCCACAGTTCAGATTAAGGAACAGCCTAAGTTAGATTTGTTACGCTTAAACTTTCCTTATAAACGCAAGAACAAAACACGTTTCTGATTCTATTTTGCCTTGAAGAAAAAAATTGGGAGGAGATGTAGGAATAGGAATAATGGGCAAACACAGACTGCAGAACTGCTGTAGCTGTGGGAGCTGGATGCTCATTCATTACATGTTTATGGGTGTTTCATTTGGAAAACAACTGTTCAGTAAAATATTTGATTGGGAGGAGAAGGGATGTTTACTCTTACTTGTTTAATTAGGTTAATTCTTCAAATTTTGTTACACACTAGCATGAAGAAAAGGGAAGCGTGTCTAACAGATGTTACTGTCCATTGTGCTGTAATTCTTTTAAATATTTGAAAGATTACTTGCCCTAAATAGCTTGCTTATATTATATTTGAGCTCAGTAAGTACGTGCTAATCATGTTAATCACTCAACTGAAAGTAACAATAAAGTGAACAGAGGAAAACTTACGTTAACTGAAAAGTTTACTTGTTTTTAGTAGATGATGGGAAAATGCTATTTTAACTTCCTAATGATACCATAATGAATTTTCTGTAGGAGAAAGACAAGACGCAGATGGTAACTGTGAATAGGGATCTTCTGATGGCTTTCGTTTATTTTGATCAAAGTCATTGTGGGTATCTTCTGGAGAAGGACATGGAGGAGATACTGTACACTCTTGGACTACACCTGTCACGAGCTCAGGTTTTGTATAGTAATAGAAATCTCTTTGAAAATATTATAGGAATGCTGTAAGTGGGAGGAATACAGGTTACCTTCTAAAGGCTGTTGCTTGTGTACTTTACCCTGATTGTTATGTAGCCACTCATACTTACAATTAAATACTAGTTTAATCTTTTGTAAATGGTCTTGGAATGAAAAGTTGAAGTTTGCAGCTCTTAATATGCCCATATTGTATATGTAGCTTTTGTCTCAAAATTGTATCTCTTTGCTAGCTTGTTTTCATTTTAAGCCCCAGTATGTTAAAATTCAAAAAGCTGTGCAATTTCTCTAAGTTTTCCAAGTGAAAACATTCTTGTTTAGGTAATAAAATGTCTGTGTATTAAGTAACACCATATTTCTTTCTCTGGCTGTGTTTTAGGTCAAGAAGCTACTTAATAAAGTCGTGCTTAGAGAATCTTGCTTTTACAGAAGACTAACAGATACTTCTAAAGATGAAGAAAATCAAGAAGAGTCTGAAGAGCTACAGGAAGATATGTTAGGTGGGGGGGTTTGTGTTTGGTTTTTTTTTTAATGGCACAAACTTCCAGAGAATCATTTGTGTGAATGGTAATGAGAGTTCTGAGATACTTGTTTTCTTGGAGAAACTAATTCAGGTCTGCAGGAAACCTGCCAGCTTCTAAAACTAAATCTTGGGCAGTTCATAAACTACAGGCTTCCAAGTCAGGCTTGCAGTCAGGAGAATCAGTGCTGTAGGTAGTACAACAGAGCCTGATTTTTGAAGACAAATTATTGCGGAAAGGAGGCATAGAAGAATGTCAGGAAAGAGCATGCTTCTTTTTGGGGAGTGGGTGGGGGTGGGAATTGGGGTAAGGAGAGCGAAGAGGAATGTGTGGGATAGACCAGCAAACTTGAATCTATATTTATTCTTCTAGGAATTTGTTCTCAAGAAGTTTTTGAGGTTGGTCACTAGAACTGAAAAATTGCAGAATGATAATTTCCTAATGCTACTTAATCTCATACAGGAAACAGATTACTGTTACCATCGCCTACTATAAAGCAAGAATCAAAAGCCATAGAAGAAAATGTCGGCCTCATTGTGTACAATGGAGCTATGGTGGATGTTGGGAGCCTTTTACAGAAGCTGGAGAAGAGTGAAAGAGTGCGGGCAGAGATAGAACAAAAGCTTCAGTTACTAGAAGAAAAAACAGGTGGGACATTATTTTGAAGGTGGTACTCAAATGGATGCAAGATACTGAGACTTTTTAAGTAGATAAACCAATGAGTAATATTCCTGTTGTAAATTTCTTAGCTATTTGCTTACCATAAACTTTCTATTTTCTATTTCCCAAGCCTTTTGAACTGGCACACCAACTGTTGTTGAGTATCATTGTCACCATGCTGAAATGCTTTTATCTTTTTTATTCAAGTTGAATGTAAGACTTCCAAATGTAGTTAGAATTGACTGACCTTTTTTCTCCCCTGCGCCCCCCCCCCCCCCTTTCCCCTCCCCCCCCCCCCTTTCTCCTCCCCTAAGATGAGGATGAAAAGACCATACTACAATTGGAGAATTCTAACAAAAGTCTATCTACGGAGCTCAAAGAAGTGAAAAAGGACCTTGGCCAACTGCAAGAAAATTTGAAGATTTCGGATGATAAAAAATTGCAATTTGAGGTTCAGCTGAATAAGACAATCAAAAATTTAGCTACTGTTATGGATGAAATACAGAGTGTTCTTAAACAGGTTAGAATTGTTTAATTCCATTTTGATTATTGTATGCACGCTTCCTGTAGACTGAATTATCAGAAAAAAACTTCAGAATAAAAAATGTTCACATGAACTGAGGGCAGTAGTATCTTAACATGGAGAGAGAGAGAGAGATATGATGCTCAGTGCAATACAGATTATTTAAAGAAAACAAGTAAAATGTATTGACATGCATGAAATGCATGTTCTTGACTTAAATGTTTTTTTTAAAATGTATAAAAATTAATGGAAATCTCAAACCATCTTAATGTTTTCCTGTCCTGATCTTGTCCATCCCCAACAGTCCGAATCTGCTCTTCTGTTTGATCAGTTAGGAGTAATTTTTCAAGGCAGAACTTAAGTATTTCAATTTATGTGGGGGTATTTCAGTAAAATGAGTTTTAAGCAAACTGCATAATGCTCCAGAACGTTTCCATCCCTGTACAGAAAGATACTTTCATATTCCCTAGGAATGCTGTAGGGACCTGTTAAGTAAGGCTGAAATAGAAGTAGGTTATGAAGGCTACTGAGTGGCAAACTGGTACTCTGAGGGAGCCTTGCTTCTCCTTCTATCTACATTTATTTTGAAAAGACACTATAGCATCTACCAAAGCTCTAAAAATGAAACAAAACCACACACACAAAAAAAACAACCTAGAAAACTTGACAAATGTTAGAGCTGCCTTTTTTTCCCCTCACCTTGTAGGATACAAGTGATGCATCATGTAAGTCACTGTAGCTTATTAAACTGGCAATACCTTGCAGCTACCTGTCATCAGTGTCGTTATGCAGTCCTGTGCTTCACTAGGTGTTGTAGACCTGCTACTCCACCAGAACCCGGAGCTGAAGGCACTGCATAACCCTCTTTTGCCGTGCTCTTAGCTCAGTTAAATAGCCATGCTCATTCTGTCTGGTATTTTTAGAAGAAAACGTCTTCTAAGCCTGGTGTTTTCAGATGGCTTTTGACCAATATAAGTATTTTATGTTTGAATTGTTACGGTAAATTATTATCCTAATTTAATGCACTTTGCAAAAACTGTTTTCATGTACTCTTAAAAAAACAAACAAACAAAAAACAGTGTGGGGCGGGGGGGGAAGCCCAACAACCCCCAAACGTTTAGACTATAAAGTGAGGCTTCTGGGGATGTTTTTTGTACTTTTCAGAAGTGCTTAGGTCACATTCAATTTCTGCCCCATCAATTTTTCAGGAAGATATTGGAAATACAAATTGCTTATAACTAAACTGGAGTAGGCTGTCAGTTCGCATAATATTTAAAGTTGACACCAAACAGTGTTGTTGTCTCATGCTGCTTTACAGTTCACATGAGAAATACCACTTCTAGAATTCATGTTACCCTCTCCCTTTTTTCTTTTAAAGGATATTGTGAAGAATGAAGATAAAGATCAGAAATCCAAAGAAAATGGAGCAAACGTATGATAAAACTGCTGCTGTTTAGAAGAATGGTGTTACATAATGTAATATAAATCATGATACCAGAATGTATGGGAAGTGATGCATGTTTGATTTTAGTAGTATAAATATCTTAGTTCCAAAAGATGTATAAAGTTTTATGAATGTGAGTGTCAGCTTCTGAAGATTGCTTGTAATTCTTAGCATTCAATTTGAGACACTCCTCGAGTGAAAATAATTTTGCATTGCAAAATGTTTTAGGATGAACTTTGTTACAGTTTTAACCCTAACAAAGTTCATCAACGTAATGAACAGTAGCAAGTATTTAATTACCAAATGTTTTTCATTAAAGTCTAGTGAAATCAAAATTTTCATTATTTATAGAATTGCCATTTTTAGGTTTTTATTTTTATTTCGGTCTAATTAGTCTTTTTAAATTCGAATATAAATCACAAAATAGCATGCTGCTTAATTTTGCAAGTAAAGATTTTTTTTTTTTAAAGAAAAAGCTTCTTGGATTTTTTTTTTACTTGTCACAACTTTCTTTTCCCTTCCAAATGTAACTTTTTTCCCCAAAGCTGCTTGTATTAAAGCCTAATAATATACAGTAGTTCAGATGAGTTAAGAAAGCAATAGAAACCTATCAAAATACTGATAGGGTTGCAAGATTTATATGAAAACACATGGACCTGTTTTAAATGTATGTCATTTGTGTTCCTTTAACTGTTGTTATCTTTGGATTAATATATATGCTCCTTTTAAATAACAAATGCAGTGTATTAAAATGTATGGTTGGATACCAGGCCAGTAGATGTCAGAATAATGCCTTACATGGAGAAAAAGCTACCATTGTAAGCCGCCTTTAATTAAATTTGGACTTCTTTCTTAATATGTGTAATTACTTCAAAGACTTTAGTCCAACAAAAGAATGGATACACAAGTATCAATACTGCATGTTACAAATACAAAGGAGCAGGACACAGCTTGGTTTGTTGAAAGTGGGTAAGATTGCCTTCCTTTGTGTACCCAAATCACTGGCAAGCGAAACTTAAAAGTTAACATGACATCATTGTCAAAGGCAACTTGTTCAAATAATGTGAAATATGAACAATTGTATTTTGGTGCAACTTCTAGGAAAATTAAGGGTTTTGAAGGTTGGGACAGAAATGTTTTCTTGCAGAAATGGTTCATTTTAGCAGACCTTTTCTTTTTTTAGCCTAGATGTCCTAGGTAACTAAATACCTGTTAGGAGAGTCCAAGTGCCATAATATGTATGAATAACCTACATGGAAATTCATGTAGCTTTACTGAGATGCACATTAAAATGCCTGAATTTATCTTCAGAAGAGTCTAAGCTGGTGCTTTTATCACTTAGCTTTCTTGGCTCTTTTGGAGCTAGACAAGGAAAGTATCTTTTCATTAAAATAACATGCATAAACTTCCCCCTCATTCATCTCAGTTGAGTCACTGTATAGTATCTTAACTGTTCACGCTAAAGTAGGAAGTACTATAAAAACACTAATTATTGCATATAAGTACACAGCAAATGCATGCTTTGTGAATTGAGAGATAACATCTCAGAATGACTGAATGAGGATGGTGATAAATTTATCTTTTGGAAAGCGTTATCTGTGGTGTACAGGTGGTGTTAAATTCTTTTGTAATCAAATTATATTTTTCACCGTTACCTTTGTACAAATTGTTGACAGCATGTTTCTTTTTTTACTTTGAGCACCATTTATTTAAATGGACTCGAAAGGATTGCGTTTGAAATACTTTGTTCATGAATTTCAGCAGTACATGTGAACATGAAATAATTCTAGAATTCAAGGTAACATCTTTTTAGGCACACTGAAGCATCTGTTGAAATATTTTGCTGGGTTGTTTTTACCTTAAACTGCTGAGCTGAAAGCAGTTGTTGCAACAAGCAGGCCTCATACGGTGTTTCAGTGAGTGGCCCTGTGAGCTAGTTGCTGGAGTGATACAGATTTTTACAGTATTTAAGAAAAAAGTGTTTGTTAGAATGAGCATAATCCTTATATTGCTTTGATGTAATAGTGTTTCAGATACTATGTACAGTCTGCATTTATGTTGGAAGGGAAATTAAAAGGGTAAAGAATAAAGGAAAAAAAAAAAAGAAAGAATATTTTTACAGCCTACACAGAGCTTGACCAGTCTCTGGAAGCACAAATAATCTGAAGAAAAACCTCTACAACCTGTTTAAGTTGCTTTACCAAACAGCACAAGGTTCTGTATATACACAACATCAATGCTGATCATTAGCTAAAGCTTCTTGGTAATATTCCCTGAAAGGTAACTAACTCTTAAGAAAATTGAATAGAGCATCAGTAACGGAGGTTTGGAGAAACACTCTTCTGTCAGTTTTACTTTAGGAACAATGTTTTTGCGTTTTGTGTCCACACTTCCCACCTCACGGGCTTTCCACTTCTAAGTCTTTCATTACAAACCAGTTGCTGGCAAAAGGCTAGTAAAAGTGAGCCTAAACTGGGTCTTACATCCAATTTGTAGTTTTAAAGTCATCGTAGATGTTCTATGGAAAGTAGTAAATCTCAGACTGCCTTGTTCTGTAGAGAAAGCACTGCTACAGCAGGCCAGTAAATGGAATCTGATCTCAGTTTATAGATACTTCCCTCCGCATTGGTATTTTGTCTAGTACGGAGGAATCAATGAGTTAAACCCTTACAAAGTGATACTCAGACTAGTGGATGTGTGTATAAAGCTAGGAAGAAAGTTCCAAGCGATACATCTGCATGCAAAATAGTCTAGAATAAAGTAGACTCTCTTGAGGCTCCTTTGCTTTTGCTCTGGTAATGAAAAGGCAGAAGTGTATGGTTTCAGTGCTACATAGCAACAGTGGCAAATAGACCAATAGTGAATTTTTGCCAAAGTTTTTTGAGGATTGCATGTGGGATAATGGAGCTGCTTCCAGCACTGCTGCATGTTCTAATATGATGAAGATATGTAATGTTTTCTTGACTCACCCAGTGCTTGATGCTTGTGCCTGTAGTGCCTGGGCACTGCTGCAAAATCACTTCCCAGTTGTTGCTTGGTTCATCTGGTGTCCTCTGGCTCAGGCTGGGGTGCCCTGAAGTGTGCAATGGAGAAGTTGGAATTCTCTGTCTCGTGCCTGTGGGTTCCCACAGATTCAGCATTTACAACTGAGTTATTTCAGAATCTAACATTACGAAGCCTCGTACTTTAACATAATGTTTTTTTCAATGTTTAACTGCTTTGAGAGAGATGAATGGCTTTCAGTCCATCTTTCTGCTGAGTAATGTACTGTGTGAATATCTGTTTGGACTTATGTAACACAGTTAATTTTCACTGATAATTTTATGAGGAATGTGCACAAAACGTGTTTTTTCTCTTGCTTCTCTGTAATCTTTGTGTACCCAGGTCAGGTTCTTACCTTGAATGCATTTGTTCAGTGCAGTTTATACTTAAAAATATAAAATATAAAATAATTAATTTTGAGTGACTGAGTCTTATGGCCAGCAATACGTTGCAAAATGTGTAGGTAGCACAGTCAGTACACGTGTGCTAATATTTTCCAGAAAGCAGAAATTGTTCAAGTAGAAAGTCAACTGGGACGTGTATGTTGCCATGTAGTGCGACAATAAAATTGGCCTAAGTGATGAATACCTCTACTCAAGCTATCAAAACTGCCAGTGTTTTCCCCCCAAACTTTTGTGTTTCTTAAACTGGGTCTCATTAGATGTATTTAACAAAAGCAGTTACAGTAAAAAGCTGTAATAACAAAATGCATTTCTTTCAAGCAAAAATATTTTTCATTTTTTATTCATGCACTATATAATCTATGGCGTCATGATACAAAGTATAAATTTTGAGTTTGGGAACACACCAAATATTGCCTTAAGTCCTATGTTTTGTAGTGTTTAACTGTGGTTGGGAGTATCACTTTTGAATATCTGGATATCTGATACCTGAATTTGTATTGAAAACACATGACACTGCAGTTGTATGCTGCTTTTTTTGATTTCTTGTATCCTGCTGTTTTTTAAATTGTTCTCTTTAACAAATGGATTCTAACTTGTCCTAGGAGTCAGGTCAAGTACCCTATGGTACATGTGAGAACCAGTATCAGGTGTGATTCAGTAATCCTGCAAGCTGTTGTATCTATCCCAATATTAGTTCAGTTCTCTTTATTCTTCTCTGTAAAATGACAGCAGAATAGTGGTGCCAAGCAGATTTGTTTGTTGCATGCTGCAATCTGATCTTTTGGGGTGGGGTTATGAGGTTAAAACTACTAGAGGTTTTCTCTCTAGTTCCTGCAGTACTTTACTACACTCAGACCATTTACAGAGCATGTTAAGTCACGGGTGCATGTTGAAATACTTTGTTGATTGAAATTGTTCAGTGATGTCCTTCTGTTTAGAACTAATAGTCTTCCGCATCTCCCCCAGGCTGAGGAAGGTGCTTGCGTAGCTAGCTTTTATTCTTGCTAATAACTTGGTTGGCAGCGTCAAGGCATGTTCATGTGAATTTCCCATAGGCAAGCAATCTCCTAGTATGGTGAGGTCTGACCATTTAATTTCTTCGTGGGAGGAAAATTGTATGGTCTGTGTGGTGCCTCTGAAAGTCCCTTCTCATATGCTCTAGAATCTTCCACCTTAGCAGATACTGGAGTGTTGTAGTGGTCTTTTGGAACAAGTAGGTAATGATAGTCGGGGGGGGGGGGGGGGGGCGCTCAGAATATTGGGAGAAAGTACTCGAGCTGGATTTCAGCCAAGATGACATTCCCAAAGCCACATGTTTTGATAGGAAATTGATTCCTAGATTATTTTCCCTCAGTCTAGTGAGAGGCACAAGTGAAAGGATCCTGTTGACCAAATCATTGTTCACATTTCATCACAAACAAGCAGCTGAGTAGAAGGCAAGAGTAGAGAGGAGGAACGCTGCAGAGAATCCCAGCCTAAACTCTCCCCACTCTGCTTTTCAGCAAATATTTTTAGAGTACTAATTTGTTTTATTATTTGCTTGCAACCTTTTTAGTGGTATACAGAAGCATTTGTTTGAGTGAATGGGTTTTTTTTTTCCTGTATTGCTTAATTCTTTTTGGTCTCCCTGACGCAGGGTTGTCCGGTTACGTTCTTGTTTTGTCATGCAAGGGGCAGAAACAGCTGGAGAACAGCAACCTTCATTTTTGGTCCCTTTTTAGCTGGACTGGATGGTAGCCAGCAGATCTGCATACAAAAAAGCAGCAACTGCTGCCACATGTCCTGTAGAAGCAAACAGTTGGAGAGAAGTACCTTGCAGTGCTGGTCTC